AAAAAAAAAAAAAAAAAAAAAAAAAAAAAGAAAAAAGAACCAGGGATATAATATGGAACTAAGTAAAAGATTTAGATAAAATACATTTTTGGGTTCATAGCTACTATACTAACTGAACAAGTTTTACTCTTCTTAATTTCATTCTGTATTTTCTTTGTAAAACTTTGTAGCTGTTGCCTGTTTGGTGTTTTTGCAGAAACACTACATCTAAAAGAACACCTGAGTTCAGTCGAGACCATAGCCTTCAGATAGAAGATACAACCCACTTCCAGTATTAACAATGACCCCAATTAAGTTGAAGGGGTCACTATAAAATGATATGCACTGAAATGAAAACCCAGTACTCCGACTTCAAGACTGGAGAAACTGACTTGCTTGATGTTTAAAACCAAATCCTGGAGACTAAGTTAAGGAAGTAAAAGGGTCAAGGAAAAAGAAGCCAATATTTGGGTCCTGGCTCTCTGAGGTCAGCCAGGATCCAGGGAAATATGGTGCCCCTCTCAGGTCCCTACAGCACTGGTGTGAGGCACCCAAAAGCGTGTTCAGAGGGACTGAAAGGACCTGAGAAAACAGGAATCCAGCCAGAGCACATTCTGCACAGAAGAGGGTCACTGAGTGGACAGGGAAATATTTTGAATACATCAAGAGAAGCAACAGTTGTTCAGCAAGACTGATCCATCCTGTCACATGGCCCAACTCGTAGAGAAACAGCTAAAGGGGCCAAGAGGGTTCTCGCATGTTCCCAAAAGTGATATCCCACAAATCTCAGCTAACTCTAAGAGTAGACAGGAAAATGGTCCAACTTGGTCTCAGATGCCTGGCAGGAGAGTTCAACCACTCACAGCCAGACGTGGGCATTCACGGGATCAGATGATAGTTCTTTTCTGTGACTTTAGATGTACAATTGTGTCAGTCCATCCAAAAGTAAGTGTCCCTGGGAGATGGTGAAGGAAGGGCTTTCATATGGGCGTGCCTGATGGACATCACAAAAAGTTCCCTAAGAGTCACAATCTGTTCTAAGTCCATTTGACACCTACAACCTTTTTAACCTCCTGCATGAGCAGACTTGATCTGTGAATGTTTTAAGATTGTCTGGTGAGTTGTTTCCTGGGCTGGGGGGATCTAGCTCAGTTGGTAGGGTGCTTGCTTTGCAGGCACAAGGCCCTGGGTTCAATCCCTAGCAACACACACACACACACACACACACACACACACACACATGGTTCTTTCCTTTTTAGCAATTGGGATAGCCATTCTGGTGATTAGGGGCACTTGGGAAGGTCCTTCCATCTCAGTTGAAGCTTGTCTTCTTTACAGGTCTTGATTAAATCCCCAGGAGTGCAGGGGCACAGCCCGTGGTGTGAGATCAGAAGACACTGATGGAGGGATGGCAATACCATAGGCTCAGCACTACTTTGAATCTGCTGCAATGTTTGAGTTGGGACCATCAGGTCCAGCTGTGGGTCCACAGCTACTCAAGAGGCTGAGGCAGGAGGATCACTGGAGTTTAGAGGTTCAAGACCAGCCTCTGCAACAGAGCAAGATTTCCTCCTGAGAAGCAGAAAACAATATCTGAGTATCTTCTGGCACAGGGTTGGTAACTTGCAAAATGGAGGCCCCGCATGTCGGACATTCTTTCTCTGGTTAGAGTGGACATTTTGAGAGTCAGGAGGAGTGGCAGCCTCCTTGATTCTTGGGGACCAGTGACCATGGGAGGCCCCCACAGTACCCCCAGAAATGCAGCTGGAATCTTCACATACTAGGTGGAGTGCCGCAGTCTGGCTGGGCACAATTCACGAGCCAATGAAGCAGGAACAAACTTTATTTCTGAACTCCACCAGCACACTCCACACACGCTCCCTGGGAACTCTCCCAAACGCCATGTGGCTCCTCTAGGAACCAACAACCGGAAATCCCTCCTCCGGAAATCCCTCCTCCCGCACTTCCCCAACCAATGGGAACTCTCCAGGAATCCCCACGAGAACTCCAAAGTAGCATGAGAACTCCAAAGTAGCAGGCCAAGGTGGACAGTAAAGGTCTAATATACAACCGAATCAATCCAGCATGATCTTAATGGCTTGCCTCTCAACCAATAATATTGGCAAAATGCCAGGGGCCATTCCGACTTGGCTGTGGCTCTCAGCAGTGGAGGAAGGTGGTGTCTTGGGCTGTCCTTAGGTTGACAAATGCTGCCAATGAACCACTTTCACATTGATCTTGAGTTCAATCCAGCAGCCAGACTTCTTGAGTTAAGACTACATCACCACAGGTTAAAACCTGCCATCCCGCTGTGCTTTAGTGATGGAAGGGTGCAGGACTGGGGTTGGCATTTTAGCTCCAGGTTCTATATAGCACTTGCTGTGACTCCTGTGTGCCACTTAAATTAAAGGTCATTGGTGGGTGTGGTGGCAAACACCTGTAATCCCAGTAGCATGGGAGGCTGAGGCAGGAGGATCATGGGTTCAAAGCCAGCCTCAGCCTCTTAGCAAGGCATAAAGCAACTCAGCGAGACCCTACCCTCTCAACATTACTGGTAATTAATGGTGAATATATATGTAAAATGTGAGTGCTCAGATAGTACCTGTTGCTCTCTTTTTTTTTTTTTTATTGTGGCATGCTTTATAAATTTGAATCCTTGTGCAGGGGCCAGGCTAAGATTGGCTACTGTTTCCTTTTCTACCCTCATGATGGGTTTATCATTCAGATGAAAATAAAATAATATAGACCAAAATTAAAATACAAAATGCAGTTGAAAAAAAATGGAGAATACAGGTATGATTTTGATGACAGAATCTGCAGTGTTACTTGGACCGTGCAAGGTATCTGCCTTGGGCAGGCACAGTAACAAAACAGCCCATTTGAGATCTAGCATTTCTTTTTGGTACTAGGAATTTAACCCAGAGGCACTTAAATACTGAGCCACAACTCAGCCATTTCCATATTTTGTTTTCAGACAGGGTCTTGCTATATTGCTTACCGTCTGGATTAGGTGCTGAGGCTGGTCTTGAATTTGTGATCCTCCCACCTCAGCCTCCCATGTTGCTGGGATGACAATTGTACCTGGGTTGATTTGACATCTTCACAAAGAGCAAATGTTCAGGTTACACCTCCATCAACGTCATTCTGGGTTTTTTTTTTTTTTAACATAAAAACGTTTGTGGACATTTAGAAATAAATGATGTGGGATGACAAAATGACAGGTCGCCCAGCCTGGCATACATATTTCCTCTCCTTTTCTAATGTGCACTGGAAGAACCTGAGTGTCTGTTGATCAGCACAGATGAGTATCAAGGCACTGTGGGTGGCGTAGCCATTGCTAGCCAGCATCTGGACCCCCAGGCGAGTGGGATCGTCCTTGTGCATCTGTCCCGAAGAGGAGGAGAACACACAGTACACAAAGTACATGAGCACAAAGAGTCTCTTGAGCAGCAGGATGGTCCTGGTGGCCCTCAGTTCTGGGGAAGCTCTTGGGGACAGGCTGGTGCTGTGGAGGTGCTGGCACTGACACTTATGCCTGCACAGGAGAGCCACCATGTACCCACTGGAGAGGGCCCTGAGCCCCATGAGGAAGATGTCCTGGAGTATTCCCATCAGGGAGAAGAAGATCCTGAAGTGGTTACCTGTGGGGGCAACATTGCAGGACTCAGAGACAAACCAGAAAGTTGCTGTGTCATTGGAGGGGGCCTTCCATGGAGGCCAAGATGCGAACATTGAAGAACATGTTGAACACCCAGAGAGTGAGCAAGGTCCATGCACTGCACTGTGGGATGTGTGCTTGGACTTGGCCAGAAAGGAGCTTCTGGGGTTGAGGGTGGTGGCCTGCAGGACACTCAGCAGGCAGGTGGTGCTGACCGACAGGCTCCTCATCAGCCTGTACAGGTAGATGACGGTTTTACATGTGATGTCGTTCCAAAAGTCCTGAACTCCCCAAATCCCTAGGTCCAGGTGCGCCCTGATTATGAGCATCAGCAGGTGAATCAGGGCCAGGTGAGCGATGGCCATGTCCGTGGGCCTGGTCCTGCGCTGAAGAAGAAACGTTAGGACGTGGAAAAGGAGCAGGAAGACGTTGGCTGTGATCCCAATGACAATTTGGAAACAAAAGGCATTTCTTACAGCAAGAAAAATATAAAGTGTGCTGCTTTTAATCATCTTTTTTTCTGGGGAGAAGAATCAGATGGTCAACGCCTTAGAATAAAAGGAAGGTCAACTCCTCCTCACCGCCACCACCAGCTTCAATATCCCAACCCCCAATACTGCTGGCTTCAAAATGTGTGGGTCCCCTTGACACCCCCTCTCCATACCTCTCAGCACTCAGGCACAGCATCTCCCATGGGTCTCTGTGCTTTCAAGGACAGGGCCACCATGGATCTGCCTGGGCACATGCAGCCACCTGACCAAAAGCTGAGAACATGGCATTTGAAGGGGACTCCAGTACAGCAGACTGCAGGAACAGCCACATAGAACTCTCAAGGTAAAGGTGTCAAGGGGACCGCCTTATACAGCTCTGTACCTCTAGTGTTCTCTATTCTGGGTTGTTCATCAACCGGTTACAGACAAAATATCAAAATATTAAAATGTTGCCTCTGAAAACAGGCTTCTTGCATTTGTTGATTAATATGTAATTTTTGGTACTGTATATTGAACCAGGTTTGCTTAACCACTTATAATATTTTACATATACTTGATTCTGCCAGAAAAACCACATCTAAGTGAGCAGAACCATCAGTTATTAGCAGGATCATATTGCAAAATTTATTTTCTGTCCATCCTTTGGCACATGGAAAAATTTTAGTGTGGAACCCAACATGAACCACACCCCTAACGCTTTTTATTTTTATTTTGACACAGGGTGTCTCTAAGTTGCATAGGACCTCACTAAGTTGATGAAGCTGGTCTTGAACCTGCAACCCTCCTGCATCAGCTCCCCAAACCCCTGGGATTACAGGCTGGCACCACCACACCAGTAAAATTTAAGTACTTTGGGGGATTTCATTAAGAGACAGGAATCCCACCTCACTCTGAGAAAGGAGTTGACGTAGTGAGCCAGCTTTCCTGTCTTCTTTAGGTAAGCAATGATATTTCTCCCCAGAAGAGAGAAGAAAAACTACACTAGACAATTGGCTGACGGAATCCTCATGGAAAATCTCCCTATAAACTGAAGGAAGTTTCTTTATTTCAGTTTTAATTCTGCTGTAGAGCTGTGACATAAGTCACATTGACAACAAGTTTAGCCACCTAGCCCCACATTTTGTCATCAGAAAAACAAGCGGGTAAGAGAATAAATTATATTCATCTCTACCTAGAAAATCACAGTGTTATCATATCAGTTACTAAAGGGTGCACAGAAATGACAAGGAGCCCAGGCAATTGAAGTGTCTCCAGCCTAGTTCAATAATTGCTTTGAAGTCTTTGAGGAAGTATAGTTGTCTAAAATGGAAATTCATTAGTCCCATTAGAAAAATTTAACATCTTCTAAATGATTAAGTGAGTAAGAACTTTTTTTCTCCATTCACACCTTCAGCAAAAAGATTCCCTCCCTTAGTATGCTCAAGAAAACAAAAGAAAAATGCTAATATAGGGTCTAGGAGTCTCCACATTCCAAGAGTCACAGATTGTTATTAATAGGCACAGTTCCCCGTGGCTTCTCTGTCTTTGGGGCAGCTGTGAGTAGATTCCATCTATTCCTGGGTGCACCCTGGCAGTAAGTTATGAAACAGACTCGGAGACTTTGTCCCCAAAGTCCTTTGCAACAGCATGAACTCAATATATACCATGTGAAGGTGCCCTTTACAAATGATGGGGAATAAAATAACTGAGTCTCTTCTGTTGGGTTATGCAATGCAGGTTTCTATTTGAACTAAATTAAGAAAATGAAATGCACAGCACTGGAAAACTGGAGGAGGAGTCATCTGAGTTATCTGTGGAAGGAGGGCACAGGACTCTGGTTTCAGCCCTGCCAGGGGGGGATGGCCACACTGCATCCCTGCATGCATTGTCATGGGAGGGAGGGACGGAGCCAGGAGGGGCCATGGACTTGCAAACACAGGTAGAGAACTGGGTTTTCCGGGGAGCATTGCCTGAAAACAGCTGAAAATTACTCTTTTTTTTCTATAGAAGAAATTTCCTGGTTACAGCTGGAAAACCTTATCATTGTACATTTTCAAGTTAAAATGTTATAAATAAATGTTTATATGTTGACTATAAATACACAGATACAACATTATTCTTTAAAGCATCATTTGAATTAATAATTCACACTAGTATATGCAAAAGGATGTATGACATTTTTATGTATAAAAACAACTCAGTAGAGGGGAAGAGTTCTGAGCCTCCTTGTTACTTAGAAATGATACAATTTGAGAAAATAAACATGTTAATTACCATAATGTGATCATAAAACAATTTAGTCATGTATAGATTTATAATAGTGTACTCCAGATACAAGTCGTTACATCAATTAAAGGTCAAAATTTTTAAAAAATCTGCATTTAAACTTTTAAGCAAATATCTACTTGAGTTCTGAATTCTTAAAAGTTTTACCCTATATTCTCAAATCTTTCACATGTCAGATTTCCTTAGCAATTTTTTCTTTTTCGTACCTGGGATTGAACCCAGGGGCACTATGTGACTGAGCTATGTCCTCAGCTCTTTCATTAAAATTTTGAGACAGGGTCTCTCTAAGTTACTTAGGGTCATGTTAATTGATGAGACTGGCCTCAAAATTGTGGTCTTCTTGATTCAGCCTCTCGAGTCACTGGGAATTTCTTAGCATCTTACCTTTCACATCTATATGCCCATGAACTAATTTAGCTTTAAGACTTTACTTTTTAGATGATATTCTGATTCAGTATGTACAAACACAAATTAAATCTTAATTATTACTTATATGAGAGGCTTGCATGAAAGTCAATACTTGTTTTCCAGAAAAATATTCTGACAATAAATTATTACAACTTTTTCTCAAACAGGGTTTGTGAATGTAGCTCAGTAGTAGAGAATTACCTAGCATGTATGGGGTCCTGGTCTTGAGATCCAGAATTTCAAAACAAAAATTTGAGTATCAATTTTGTATCTAAACCTCTTTGGGTTTGGAGAAATGCCACTGCTTTCTTAAAAGATGGAAGAATACCTGGACTGCAAGAAGACTCATATTTAAAGTTTAGTTTGGATACTTTTCCTTTAATGAAATCCTCATAATAGAGTGTACCTGAATCTATTTTAATTCATGGTTTGGTTTTCCGCAAGAATTCCACAAATATAAATAGAAAACAATGCAAAAATGTGTTCTTTCTAATATTTTATAATAGCAGTTGTGTGAATAGGCCTGATTCTGACATAATAATCAAAATATATAAAATATGTAACTATATAGAAAAATTCAAATAGTCATAAGCTCCATCAATTTTCTCCAAACAGAGATTTCCAGTGTACTGTACTATTCTGGTAATTTTTTTCAGCTCTCTGAGTTAGTGACAGAAGGTGATCAGATATTAAAACAATCCTAAGAATTCTACCAACTGACATAAATGAGGATCTGCATTTTAAAAATTAGAACAATCCTGGAAAGGTAAACCATGCAGGAAGTTCTCCCTGTGTGACTTGTGTGCTTCATCCTCCTTACATCTGAATTCATTAAGTAAAAATTCCCCAGGGCACACCTTCCTCAACTGCTGGAAAATGCCACATTACATTCTGTTTTTATAAATTATACGACCCAAATTTCCATCTTTTACAGGTAGATTTACACCACACTGATTCTTTTGTGAGTGATGGTAACTTGACTGAATGATTTTAAGATTCATCTGTGGTTTCTTATACAACAGCATCACCTTCCTATTTTATGCTATGTTTAGGATTTAATGCAATATTTGGTCTTTGAATATTATACCACTGAAGATTCCACCCCCTGTGTGTAGATGTATACAGTTTTGATTCTGATGCCTATACAAGAGGGTCGCCATGTACCCTCTTGACATAATAAATTCAAGACTCATCTGTGGCTTCCTATGCATCAGAATCTTTTTCCTATTTAATGTTGAGTAGAACTCCATGATATATCCAGACCATATCTTCATACATTCATATGCTTGGGAATATCAGACTGTCTCTATCACTGACTATTATAAATATGGTATCCTGAGCAATGGTGTTTAAATAATAGTAGTTGTCCTTATATCCGGTTTTTTGTTATATTCATAAAAGTTCAATTGATAGATGAGATGGCAGTTATAATAAGGGATGTTTACAATCTATTAGGCATAAAGGAGATTTCTGAGATTCTTGATTTATTAAAACCGCTGCAATCTTTCACATACCTATAAATGTATGGACTGATTCAGAAAAAGAAAGTGATATTTACTACCTAGGGTTCCTTTCACACATCAATCAGAAATATAAAGTTATTAGTTTGTTGGAGCCATATGCACAATAATCTGTACTTATTATTCTCAGTTTCAAGCTTCAATGTAATCATTTTTAAAAACCACTTTATGCATTCATCCAACATGGAGAGCAAACTCACTATTCCATGATGCATCAGTGCATGGTGGTGTGGTAGCTCAGGTCAAGAACTGATCCATCATGCAATGATTCAACGTTGACTGTCCTACCTCCACAAACATTTCAAAAAGGCAACACTTTGTCTTGCCGTGCAGATGAAAACCAAAGGACTGATGGTGGCATAGTCATTGGACACCATGATCTGGACAGAACAGCACACAGGGTCATTTTTTCACATGGTTCTTGAGGAGGAGATGACGCAGTCCAAACAGTACATGAGCACAAAAAATCCCATGAGCACCAGGATGGCCCTGGTGGACATCTGTTCTGGGGAGGCTTTTGGAGACAGGCTGGTGCCATGAAGGTGCTGGCAGTGCCCCTTATGCCTATGCAAGAGGGTCACCATGTACCCACTGGAGAGGGCCATGAGCCCTATCAGGAAGAAATCCCTTAAGGCACCCAGTATGGTAAACAAATGCCTGAGGAAGTAGCTCATGGGCAAG